GAGTGTTATAGATGTTGTTACAAAAACTTCCTTTTATATTTTTCTCAGTACAAAATACAAATCGGTGATGATCTTTGTGTCTATATGCAGTAATTACTATCTAATAAAATAAAAATTAATATTGACATTAATTAATGTAGATAGGATACATGTTGGTTAAACAAAAAAATGGAATCTATATTGCTTTCTTTTTGGTCACTTAACTTCTACTGCACTCTTCTAGAAATTTTAATTGAATGCAAATTTTGAAAAAATAATTGTTAAATGTGTTGCAGAACTATGAAAGACAAACACAAAGTACAATTTTTCAAAGAAACTTCCACAGGCTCCTGGAATACTATTTACAAATTTTATGGATCCCGGAGAAGCTTTGCAAACTCGTGGTCAAGATTATTCACAAAAAAAAAGATGTAACACAAAAGTTTTAGTTCTAACCAAGTACCTACATAGCTATGAAACAAAGGCTAATAATATCATTTATCAGATTTATTCCAGATCTGTCAGTGTCGATTACAAACGTATAAAAGTTGCCATAACCAAAAAAGTATGCCTAGCTACAGCCTATTTGAAAAGCATGTAAAAATTTACTTCTAATAACAGTGCGACTCCAAAAATAATTTATTAATTTTGATATTTTATTTAATATTTGTTAAATTTGTGGTGCTCAGTGTTGTTGACTGTTGTATTTTTTTACTCTTATTTCCAGAGCTACTAAGCACTGATATAAGAGTTTTGGTTAATTAGCACCAACTTGTAATTGTAAAATATAATAACCAAAAAAATTGTCTATTTGAAAAAAAGAAATATTTTTTCAAAAGTCAGTTCCCGTAAGAACAGTTATCTGAATAAATTATTTTTTTATAATATTCCCAATTCTTCCCGTTTATAATAAGAATTTTAGGTAACTCGAAGGTAACCATATAAAATTACTTGAAAGGAGAACCACCGCCACTAAAAAAGTATAGATTTTCTGCATAGTAGTAGTAGAAATTTCATATATCATTGATTTGTGTGCCACTTTTACTATCTTTTTTCTCCCTTTTCAATTGGAATTCATTCGTTCATTTATTTTTTAATTTCTAATGAAAGTTATTCTACACCTGTTGCAACAAGGATATCAAGTAGTTATATACGTTAGCCATTTCATGAAGTCATCATACAAGGCATATCAGTTTATTGTTAGGACTTTAACATGTGTAGGTTACAAAAGGAGTTCGTTGACACCTTCGTCAATAAATTCTTTCGCTTCGAGCTTGTTGGGGGTTCAGCTCTTACGATAATTAATGATTTCCTCTGAAAATTTAATTTCTAGGACCTAAAATCTTCGAAAAGTTATTAACTGTGTTATTTATTACTTTAGAAACATGAATAATATTCTCATTTAACAATTAAAATACAACTTAAACTTAATTAAATTCTTAATTTTACTCGCGATGTAATTTTTTTTTTGCTATATTAACTTAATTTGATCAATTATTTGACATTTTCTGAGTATTAAATTTGTTTTTAGAATGTCTTCAAATAAACGTTAATCTGTTGATCTGTAAAAAATAGATGTCATTTGTGCACACATTTATGAGACATAACAGTTGAGTTCAAATTTCAACCTAAAATTTCCAGTTCCGAATTATTTGCACAAATGTGATTTTTCAGAAGAAATAATTTAGTGCATTTTTAATACATTTTGCGTACTTGAACTTTCCACATAAAAGATTCAAGGGCTGCATAGGGAAAACTTTTGCGGAGATCTCCTCAAGTTTCTTCAGAGTTGAATCGAGTAAATATTGCATCGGAGAAAAGCAAATCTCATTATTATTCCAAATGTTAAAGTAATTGGATTTCGAACTCAATCCGTTATGTATTATTTACAATAAAACTCGTAGATTTTAATGTGTTTGGGTGTAAGGATAGCAATAGTTGAACGGCAGTTTAGTAGGTACGCAATTTTCCTTTGATATGTCACAATTTCCGGAGTTAAAGTAATTAAAGTTTTTAAATATCATTTTGATTGATCGAGGTAAAGGTGATGAATCAAAAATTAAATAGAAACTTCTTTATTTGAGGTAGACTTGGAGTATATTTGCGAGGAAACGAATAACCAATAGATAAAAGTATAAGACAAAGAGGAACATAATTTCTAGAAATTTTAAAAAGTTAAAAGCACTTTGATAATAAAGTCTAGAAATCTTCTTAATTCACGAAAAGTTGCATAAAACACAGATCGATAGAATTTGGAAGTAAAAAAGAGAAAATAGATAAGTATTATGTCTATAGAGCATAGGTATAAATTAATTGACGACTTTTTTATGAAATATTTACTCGTTTTCAAATGGGAGTTTTCTAATGAAAGTTGCCTTCCATTTATTTACACTAAAGAACGGTCTTTGAATAGCGCTTTTGCACCATGCAGCCCGCCTATTTGAAAACGTAAAAAAGATATCAATAAGCTCACCAAACAGGCTTAATCCTTTATACATCGTATAGCAGAAATGGGATTAGACTTATATAACATAGTTTGCTCCAAAGTCGGTTCGTACGTAAAAAAATTACGAAAACCTTCCTAGGAAGCAAAATAATCATAATAAATAAGAACTAAAAGTTCAGATTTTTACGAAATTATATATTTTGACGTGACAATTGTTTCGACAACACCGTGTCTTTATCAAATGATAAAGACAACACCGTGTCTATATCAAATGATAAAGACACGGTGTTGTCGAAACAATTGTCATGTCAAAATATATAATTTGAACATTTAGTTCTTATTTATTTTGATAAATGGATTTTAAGTTTGTTTGTTAAAGCATTCTGCTTTATAATAAGTGATTTTAAGCATTTTTTTGATCCAATTTACGAAGAGCTACTGAAATAGTCAATACCAGGAAGATTTTAAAATTTTTTTAGATGTTGTTATTGGGTTTCATCTACACCGTGTATATATTATTTGTTATTTCTATGCATAATTATTTTTTCAAATTTAATGTTATATACTGTATGATACAGGAATTCTATTACTTAGTAAAAACAATATAATATGTATAACAAATTTGTAGAATGGAGTTCAATTGTTTTCAAAACCCGTAAAAAAAGGTCTAGATATATGCAAACAGACTGGTGCAAAAATTTTATCATTTACTTCACGCAGGCAATCAACTGAATATAGCTAAGCCTAGTATACTGGGTATTACAATTTCTATGAGGCACAGTATATATATAACTCAGCTGATCGTCCGTCATTTGATGCTTTTAGCCCTCAACTCAATTCAACCCAAAACGTGTATCTTGTTTCTTGTATATACAAGATTATTGCTGTTGTATTCGTCGGTCCACAGTTAACGAATATAAATACGAAAAATCAATTATGTGACATATACCCCATTCCGAAACACAGGACAATGACGAAATGAAAAAGTTATCGGAGAGAAAACGAAGCGATCAATAGAGTGCAGAAATTCGCTTTATACGAAACAGTTTGATTGAGCAGTTGAGCCGAAATCGAGGATTTAGCTTTTTCAATTACACTTCAACGGGTCTGTAATTAATTTAATTTAATTTTATTGATGCGCCAACTATAAGGCACTCCATGTTATGGGGCTCAAATAAAGATAGGAAGATGCTATTATAATTGTCTGAGGCCAGATCAATAGTTTTAGAACTTTTTCTTGACAATTCTTCACTTTATATTAATTTATATCACAAGACTCTCGATTGCATGAATTTTTTTTTCGTATTATGGATTTTATCCCTTTACTAAAGATCAACAATGTTCGAGATTTTTGAATAAATGTTGGTCATGGATTTTCTGAGTTCTACCTTCTTGAATAAATTTTTTACATACTCCTGGTTCCTGTATAGTTACCATAATCTGCAATTCTCAGACTAGACGCAGAAAGCGGAATAAGCTATAAGATTCCTCGTATTCTGTATGTATGTATAGGGAGTCACCTGATATAATCATTGTTCCCCATGAAAATCTCAAACGCCTGGCTTCTCTAACCCCAAATTGCATAATTTATTTTTTTATGTTGCATAAAATAGTTTATTATTTTCTATAAATTGATTGGTACCTAACCACAGAAAATTGCGAAAATTTTTATTAATATTATACATACTCACTTAAAAAAAACATTTGTTATTAAAGAAATAAAATGTGGTTACATTGATTAATGGTTAATTTTGTCAAAACTAACCAAAACTCTTATTATAATCAACAACGCAGTCAGCCAAGAACTCTTTTTTCATGAAAAATGATATCACAATATAAATAGACTATTAGGATTGTAAAAAGTAATTGACCTGTATCAAAAGAAATGTCAAAGTCGACCTTACTGCGTTTTTCGTTATAAATATCAATGCCAAGTATACTCGTATACTCGTAGTCTTGTCAGATTTTGCCACTAATTAAGAAATCGTGTTCCTCAGCTTACTAAAAGAGTAAACTTTACTACTCCAAAGTTAATTAAAGTTGAAATTATATCAGAAGTTACGGAACGGCGAACATATCGACTCGTTTCATCCATATTACCGTAAATCCCAAACTCAAATACCGTAAAATTTAGAGTCAATTTGTAAAGGAATCTTTCTTTCCGCTTTTGGTGTGCGTGATAGGAACAATTTATTAGCTCGGCAAAGTGCCTGTTAAAACTGCAAATAATTTAAGAACAGATGCGACTTTCTCGTCGTCCGTTATACTTTTGATCTTCAATTACCAAACTTATGTGTCACTCTAGCAGGAATTACTGCAGGTTATTGATCGCCATTTCTGCAGTTCGTTTTCGTCTCGCGGGAGTGTTTTCGACAAACTTTTTAATTCAATTTTGCCCGGTTTTATTAGAAAATCGACTTTGAAAGATTTTTCTTCCAGCCGAGAGAAAATGAATTCGCTACAGTGAGACAAGTTCAAGAGATATTTTAATAATGGAAATTCATCAAGAGAATTTCCTTATCAGTTTTAACAAAGGTTGTGGGTTTGATGATTAATTTAGTTCTCTTTGTTGCAGAGTTGCCAGATTCGTCGCCAAAAATTAGTGTAGGGCGAGATATATTGGATTATGGGGATGTTTTGAGGGCCAATTGCTCCTCTCCACCTTCGAGGCCTCCGGTACTTTTACAGTTTGTGCTCAACAACGTTACGGTGAGTTGAGCACGAATGGAAAAATATTTACCAATTTAACACAAATAAATTCAGATTATTTTGCTGTTAAGATCGCGTATGACTATCTACTGTTATCGTCTAACCTTCGTAAGCAAAAACAATTATAATGTTTACGTTGCTTCTCTACTAATTAGGTACATCTAGTCGATTGCCGTGTTTGCGTCTAAGATTCTGGCTAATAAGGCCAATTAGGATAGCTTCGAAATCATACTTTACCCATTGGCCACAAAGCCCGGTACCCATAACCATTGATTTTAATTCGTTTGATTGCGACTGTATTTGCACTATATTGTACTAATTATATTTATCACTGAGGCGTTCATCTTACACAATCCACGATTCCTAATTGGCAATTAAAGTATAATAAAGTTCCAAAAAAGTTTTATGTCGAAAGCAATGTTTATTACAGTTTAAATTCAAGTTGCATGTCACAAAAAGCAACAAAAATGCACACTTTAAAAGAAGTTAATTAGAACAAAATTATTTATTAAACCAATCACAGAATATTGGAACTTAAATATGTTGTACCTTCGGTAATGACTACCATGAGCCAGTATTTACTGATTTCAAAGGTTTCTATAAGAGGTACTATAAACAAATAACAGTATGAGATCAATGCTATTGTAATGGAAAGCTTTACCTATACAAAACTGACTCAAAATAACTAAATTATATGAACACCAAAACATAAGTTTTTTTTATTTTGCAATGTATGGTGCAACACAGAGAAATAGTAGTTTCTACAACGACGATGTAGCACTGTAACAACAAAACTTTAACTTACTAACATTGAAATATTTATAAAATTCATATGTCAAACGTTTGAGTGCCCTCAAGGGAATATTAAACAAATCCATTTTTCTAAAATAAGTTTAATAAGTTTCTTGCATCCTGTAGATGGGCGATTTTTTTGCAAAGTTATTATTACAAATGTAATTACAAAGCAAAATATAAGTCCAGATTGATAGTGCATTGTTTAAAGTTTTAAACAAAATTGCCTTGGAAACAAATCATATCCCAAATAACTTATTCAACTTACATTGGCCAAGACCGTGTTCATAGCTGCCACCAATCAGGCTCCTGCTAAACCTGTAACTCAGATAAGGAAACCAGATTTTACTTGTACCTCTTCAATACTGGACATAAAATACATTCTACTGTTTAAATGTTGTTATCTAGAAGGTACTTGAAATGTGTAACAAAAATTCTTTTTTGCATATATATTCGCGGGTTTTATTTGTAATTTATTTGCTTTTCAGTTAACTACGAATCTTTAATATAAACTGCATCAATTTACAGGAAGGTCTGTGGTGCTTTATCCTTCAATCCTATCTACCTACCCAAAAGTAGCATCCCAAAATTTCTGCTTATATTTTATCACGCGATCCTATGAACTTTGCTACCAAAATGATCTGAAAAATATTAACCAAGTCAATTCTCTTCAAGAGTCAACTTTGGTCGCAGTTTAATCCGGTTCAAATTACAGATGGTAAACGGCACCCCAAAGCGCTGCTTCAGCTTTCGTTATAAATTATTCCAAGGTTTAAGTGGCAGTTTCTAACCCAAATTTTAACCGTGGCGGCTGTACGCTAGATTTGCCATCAAGATTAGATCTAAGTACCTGACACCCGGAATCATATTTTACGTAAAAGGCGCCACTATTGCCCCGAACTTCGCTGTCGACACAATGTAACGCCATTCATTATTAGCCCGAGCTTGAATATTTATCACTCACGACCATTATAAAATATCCTGCCATGTTTAGAGACCGAACGGATGGTTTTTCCCCGTTCGATCCCGCCGGCATTCTGTTTAAAGCGTTAAGGTTGGAGCACACTTGTCTTGCCGCTATCGACCCGCATCTGATAAAAAAATCCCAAAGAATAAATAAAGGACCCTTTTACGTGAGATGTAATGGATTATGACTAGGAATTGCTCTTGATGCCATGGATAGTCAAAATGTTGGAAAAAGTATAGTTGAAACCCTATAGACGAACATACTATTTATGGCATAGGTCACAAAACTTATTCAGAAGGTTTATTGGCTTTATAAACTTGGATAAAAATAATTTTTGTGTGGGTTAAAAAGGCTCAAGGGCTTCAGTGATGTTGAACTAAGGTGGCTTTTACTTGATGAAAATCCATTTATCAAAATAAATAAGAACTAAAAGTTCAGATTTTCACGAAATTATATATTATGACATGACAATTGTTTGACAAAGACACGGTGTTGCCGGAACAATTGTCATGTCATAATATATAATTTCGTGAAAATCTGAACTTTTAGTTCTTATTTATTTTGGCTTCAGTGATGGGTTAAAAAACCTAAAATCAGCACGTGAAAGTGATATAGCTACGCGTTTTTTATGTAAACGTTAGCAAATAAATATGGTATTCAAAGATTTGTCAGAACTTATGGTCATTTCACACGCTACTTCGTGAATTTCGTGGGGAAAATATAGCACACTTTGCATAGAAAATTTAAGTATTACCATTCAATGCAGATAAAAAGATTTTTGACTACATAACAAAAAGTCTCCTTTTCAGCTAATAAGAATGTCCTAATAGGTTCCCTTATGGAAAGGCTTATCCAAAATCACCGGAGAAAGCATCCTATAAAAAAATAAAGATAAATTTAATATATGTAAATAAAAGTTCAAATGCGAAATAAATCATAAAAGAAAAAAGCACATTTTAAGTAAATAACAGATATTAAGGAAATAAGAACATACTTACAACAAAAAAATATGAGATAATTCTTACATTTGAAAATATCGTTTATTACCACAGGGTAAGTGTACTTCTAGCTTTACTGAGCTCGGTAGGATGGTAGAATTGTTTGGAATCATCTCTTTTTCATACTGTATTAGTCCATTTGTGCATTTTTGATAGACATGTTTCATTACCGAGAGATTGCTTTTGCCGTTACGGCATCGCTTTCAACACATAACATTTTGCTAAATTTCAGGAAATGATTTAAGTCAAGCGGCTTGGTACTAATTCGATTAGAAGTTTACGGTTTACATAAAGGTCCAACATTTAACTTACGCTCGAACTCAATACGAAAATTCAGTTAGCTAGAAATTTCTGCGGCTTCGGATCAAACGATGCACCGGGGCCAGCTAAGATATGATGAGAATAAGGTTTAGAGGTATAAAAACATTCATTCAACCCTCGAACTAGCTTACGTAACGTAAATACCTTCGCATTATTAATGAGGTTAGAATAATTAATAAGTTTTCAGGCCTGGCATCAACACAAAATACATGAATAAACGTTCACTACATCCAGTGATATACAAGGTACGGTTTTTCTCACCAAAAAGTAATAGATAGAACGCAAAACTAGGTAGAATTTTAGAATTTAGTATAACTACATCTGAAATGCCGAAATGCAATCGGAAAATTTTAGGCCTACGATTATTTCGATACAAATATTCTTTAGGTATTTCCGATTTTGAAATATCGGGCCATTTATTCTTCGACTAGTGTAGATTTATTTCTATGAAACCTTATATTTCCGTGCTATTTAAATAAGCTTCGCAACATAACTGGTGAAATGCAGTGGACAGGGCGTTGCATCTGGAAGTAATAGAAAGATTTTAAAAACTAGTTACAATTTCAAAAATTTGGTATAGCTATATCTGAAATGTCGAAATGCTGGCCGCATATAGGTTCATTTAGATTAAAAATCAATATCAACTTGGCAGGGTCCTTTTTAGCTCTGGTGATTTCCAATTACTCAAGAATTTTTTATGTCCAGAATAAATCTAATTTTATTTTTCATGTTCATGTTTCATCAGACTTTTACCGGGAACAGATTGTTTTGGTATGTTTGGATGCATTTTGACAACTGACACATGACAATAACTGATTTATGCAGCTTCACCACACTATGCAATGCAACCCAAGACGTCAAAAAGAAACGTCCTTTCCAGTCTGCCCGAACTAAAGTTGCTTTCTAAAAGTAATATACAAAATCCTCGTTACTCGACTATCTTAACTTATAATAAAAGTAATAGTAAATAATTAAAAAATATACCTAGCCCAAATAGCTGTCATTCATTCTATCAATGTGCAGCGCAGAATAGTTCTAGCACGTGAATAAAACGTGGACCAGGCTTAGTTTCGATTTATACGGAACGTACCGACTGAAGTTGCGATGGACAGACAATACAATATCAACAATACTCTCCAAACGCACTTCAGGAACAGACAGTATATTGAGCGAAACAGAAAGAGCTAGATATAAGATATCCCTTTTTTCTTCAAAGAACCGGCCACTGAAGCTCACTTTCAGTTAAGCTTTGGAGGATGATTCACGAAATGTCAGAAAGTTCGATTTATCAACCATTCACCCAGGAGGAATCCAGAAAATTTGTAAATAGAACACTTACATGAGATAGCATCGGCCGGCTGTCAGAATTTCAATCCGGCACATACTGGAGATGTTCGTTATGTTCGCCACCTGCAAATTGGTCAGAAGAGTTTTTAACCATTGGAGGCAATAGAAGACAACGATTATTTTTGCTACTCACTCACTACTTTCTCAAGACGTAAAATTAATGAAATATTAATAATAACAATGACTTTATTGTATTAAAATCACAAGAGACAAAGCTCAAGCTTAGTTTTCTAACTTAACCTGTGTTAACCTTAACCAAACCGAACGGTAATCATGTGGGAACCTATTTACATTATAGTGTAGATATTGTAAAACCAAAAATACAGTTCATTTGACTTTTTAAGTATTTAACAGTACTTTAACCGCAGACCTTCGCAGGACAGTCGTAAAACCCATCCCACCAGATGTTTATTCTGGATTAAGTAATTCTTCCCTGAGATGGACAGTAACGAAAATTAGTAGAAACGTGAAATTTTTATTTGAAATGTAAATGTACCGTTTTAAAATTGATTAAGCATTAATGCGGCGGAGTATTTTCGAATAAGTAGAAGCGTTTATTTTAATATCGGGTGATA